ATGCATAGTTCCAGCGAAACCATACGTCGTTAAACGAAGACGAGACTGAACAGCCGGGGGTGGTATTACAGCAACTTCCAAGACTTCGCTTGAAGTATCGAGTTCATTGAACGCTTCACGCATACATTCTGACTGTAAGAAGTGAGAAGAGAACTAAGAAAAATAGTATACTAATCTACGAGGTTAGCGTGACACTGACTGATCTTTCTTTGAAGTTAACAGCAGGCCAGAAAAGAACAAGATCTTTTTTGTACGGTAAGTTATGATTTCTTGGGGATGTAGCCCAGTGGTAGAGCGCTCACTTAGCATGCAAGAGGGCTCGGGATCGATGCCCGGCACTTCCATAATGCAACAACCAGTTGCAACACTTTTGCCTCTGCTTCGGTCTGGGCACCCGGGCAGTATCACAGCCCACACACAAATGATGAACTGTCTATAATTATGGAATATACTTTTCTTGCTCCAACTAACAATCAAATGATTCAAATTATTATTATTACTATTATAGACATTATTATTACTATTATTATTATTCAGTCAGTCAGTCAGCTACAACGTAGGACCAAATACATTTATGCATCGGTCCAAGTTGCCATACCTCATTAACACAACAAGATGAACACCAGATTCATAAAAGTAGTTAATTCAGAGGTGGTAATATATAAAAGAAAGATTGCAATAAGGATACAGTGCAGGAAGAAAGAATTAGTTCGCAGAAAGAAAGATATGAAGCGATTTTAATCTCGCAGTTTAAGGGAAGACAGAGAATGTATACACCTACGCCATTGTGATCGATTCTGAGCCATGTCACCAAGAGTCTCCAACCATCGATTACGACAGTCACGCGGACCCCAACCAAGTAGACTGCATCTACCAACATGGCTCAGACTAGAAGTTAGTGACTTCAGGCACTGATGCCACGTTTTGGTTTGGCCGCCCCTAACTTTCTTCCAACCATCCCGAACACCGGTTAGCATTGCACGTCGTGGTAATCGGTGTTCAGGCATACGTAACACGTGGCCCAACCATCTCAGTCGATGAAGATTCACAACCTCATCAACTGATTTACCATCCTTCCCTAATACCCTGCGTCTAACCTCACTATTACTTACCCGGTGATCCCAGCAGACGCCAGCAATATTTCTAAGGCATCTGTGGTCAAATACTAGTAGCTTACGAGTGTCTTCTACTCTTAATGGCCATGTTTCGCTGCCGTAAAGTAAAACAGAACGGACTGCCGCGCAGTATACTCGTCCTTTTATTGATAGACGGATATCTCGCCTCCGCCAAAGGTGACGTAAGTTGGCAAAAGCCAAACGAGCTTTTCGAATCCGTGCTGAGATTTCGTCAGACACCAACCCATTAGGGCTGATCAGACTTCCAAGATAAGTGAAGTTGTCAACGCGTTCGACTACTTCACTCCCTATCCTTAGTTCAGGTGTTGACGCAGACCAGTCCTGAAGCAACAACTTGCATTTAGAGGGAGAGAAGCGCATTCCAAACATTCTGGCATTGTTGCTTAGTGCTACCAAAAGACTCTGCATTTTGTCAGCGTCTTCACCAAACAGGACTATGTCATCTGCGTATTCTAAGTCGATAAGTGGACCTCCTGGAAGGAGATCAATACCCGAGAATTCAGTCGACGAGAATGTTATTTCCATCAATAGGTCTATGATGAAGTTAAACAAAAATGGAGAAAGTGGACAGCCTTGACGGACACCACTTGAGGTTGCAAAAGTAGATGACAGTTCGCCATAAGCCCTGACTCGACTAGTAGTGTTCGAGTAAAGAGCCTTCACAAGGTTTATGTACTTCTGGGGTACGCCTTTCAATGACAGACACTGCCACAGAATCTCGCGGTCTACAGAGTCAAATGCTGCTTTTAAGTCAAGAAAGACCACCATCGTCGGACGCCGATAAGTATGCCTGTGTTCTAGAATCTGACGAATGGTGAATATGTGGTCGATGCAGCCACGACCAGGTCTGAAGCCAGCTTGGTTCTCTCGTGTTTGCAGTTCACGAGTCTTAGTTAGGCGTCTGATAATTATCGAGGCTAGTATTTTAGATATTATATTAGTTAAACTAATCCCTCTGTGGTTGTCACAGGATGATTTTGACCCTTTCTTATATATTGGGACGATAAGTGATTGTGACCAGTCAGATGGAATAACGTCTAACTCCCAGATCTTAGCTAAAATATTAGTCAACCTAATCGCTAAAATTGGACCACCATCCTTAAAGACTTCTGGAGCCAATCCATCTGGACCAGCTGCCCTTCCTCGTTTCAGATTAACTATAGCCTTTTGAACTTCTGCTAGAGTTGGGGGACCTACTTCAATGTTCCATTACACTGTCTGGGAATGGAGGGTAGTTGTAGAGTAGCTGAAGGCCAGCTGAACTGTTCTCTGAAATGTTCCGCCCATCGTTCTAAACGTCTGGACTGGGAGCAGATGAGGGTGTCGTGTTTTTCCGAAATAGTCTGACTTACACTTAACTTCTTAATTCCGGTTTCTTTTATTATTTTGAAAAGCTGTCTAGTTTTACCTATAACTGCTGCATTTTTCATCTCTTTTGCTTTCGTTGCCCACCACTGCTCACGGTCGTTTCTTAGACTTTTTCTTAACCTAGATCTGATTTGTTGTCGCTCTTCATCATGTTCAGAACCTGATGGGACGAGTTTGCGAGGATCCATCAGTGTGATAGACTTTGAAGAAATTCACTGGTTCTTTGTAACTCTGTGGTTTAAGTCACTAATAGATTTCATTGCTGTTTCCACAGCTGTTTGTATAGCTTTCCAAGCAACATCTGGGTCAGCCTCGTTTTCAGAACTACCTAAGTGTGACCTCAGTTTTCCCTGGAACCTACTTTTGGTTTTCTCGTTACCTAATTTTTGCGTCCAGTGGGGCGCAAGCAGATGCGTGCCCGTATTAGAGCGTAGTCGGAGTCCAAGCAGGTACTCCAGAATGAGCGAAGGGTTTTACGTAATGAAATTGGGCAAAGCTTGCGTAAGGACCGAGAAGCCTGGTAGTCGGAGCGTGCTAATGAGCTGGAAGCAGCAGCTACATCTGGTAATTACCGAAAGCTCTTCCGACTCATCCGAGCCACTGGCAGCAAGAAGTCTGGTGTGAGCGAAACAATCTACGAGGATGACGGGATGCCAATCACTAACATCCATCGACGTCTTGGATGATGGGCAGGATTTTTCGAAGGGCAGTTCAACTGGCCTGCTGCTCCGGCAACATCGGTCAGACTGTCCTGCCATCCATGGCCGGTGACGACTGATCCACCAAATGAGGCGGAAGTCCGCAAGGAACTCCAACTCTTGAAGCGCTACAAACCAACTGAGTTGGTTGGGAGATGGGCACAGATACCACCAATTATGGCGCTTTATGATAACCAAAAGGAAATTATATTGAGGGAAGTTTATGAGTGTCCAGGTCAGAACATCTCAACAGTCTATGAGACCATTAATTGTTGGTTTGAGCTATGTTGGAAGTTACATGCTTTTGAGATAAGGTCCTCAAAGTAACTATAACCTACGACATGGTGTCACTCCAAGCTCTTCACTTCGAAACTTCACTAGTCACATTCTAGGTTTTGCATCGTTCTCATTTTCTACCACCGTATGTACGATTTCTATTTCTTGTTGATCCCCACTAAGCGCACTTACATTAACACATGTGTTAATGTAAGGTACAAAATTTTGGTATACATTTGTATCAGGCATTACATCTTTTATATACGTTAAAAATGACAGATGACCAGTACTTACAACAGTAATAATATAACATATCATAGGCATAACAGTTAGCTTAGGACTAACCTTCATTATGAATTTATCTGAGATATTACTGCTTGAAAAATCAAAGTCCAATATTTCAAACGCCTCCATAGTTTTAATGTTGCATTCTGCTACAACTCCGTTTTCTTCTAGTCTGTATACAAATAATAATTTAAAAGTAATTTACAAAATATTTAAACCACTCCCGTGAGTTTTATAGGATAAAATGAATGAAACTGATGGTCCTTGAACTGAAGTCCCAAAAATAGAAAGGCAGTCCTGAACGACCTGAGGAAGTACTAGATTCTACTTACAACAAGCACACCAAGGTTTGTCCTAAACGATATTATATCTTTCTTCACAGAGTATTCACGGAAAAGCGCTGAATGCAGAAAAGCGTTTCCTTGAATGCATTTTGAGTCCTCTACTGTCACCTTAATACCATTATTTGTGGCAAATATTGTGGCAAGCTACACACCAAGGATGACGCAATTATCAAAACATACATCGCGAAAATGCACTGCCTTCAATATATTGATGATTATTTTTGCATTATCCATTGCCAGATAGATAAGTGGTTCGTCCATCGTATTACTAGTACAGGTTTTGTCAGTAACCGGAAGTTAACAGTGGATACACTAAGGACAATTAGATCTATGGAAAAGAAAACAAACAAAATGTTGTAACCCATTTAAGCGAATAATGATATATTTCGACCAAAAGCACACAAAAAGTTACAAAATATAAGACACTACATGACAATCTTTTTCCTTTGACTGCTTATTAGACTGATGCAACTGAATTGTTGATACTTTAAACACCAGAGCATACACAGCCTAAGACTGTCATTATGAGTGTTATGACAGTGATTTAAGTGTTTTGATCCATGGGACTGAGGCTTGTTGATAGATGACACTTTGAATACAATTAGCCTAAATAAGTACACACCCCAAGCTGCCAGCTATGCGGAAATTTTGGGGAAATCCCAAAAATGAAATATTTTTCCCCAAAGTTTGGGAAAATTTAGGGGGAATCCCCAAAATCTTCGTAGCGCATTTTTGCACACTAACATTTCATCGACATAATATGAATAAGCCTCACAGTAGTAAATTTAATAGAATGTACATTTTAATTCAATACAAACTTTTGATGAGGGATAGTCTATCGAATTTCAGGCCTTGTTTTAATACATCAACAAACAGACAGTAGACAGAGTTGTCGGTTTCAAAGCACTTTTTCAAAATTTGAAAGCTATGCAGGTGAGTTGTTAGCAGTGCAGGTCGGAAAATTTGGTTGCTGTCTATGTTCAGTCTTACTTAAGTCAATTATTTCTTTCAGAATAATAATAGACAGCTCGATAAGATTGCGAAAAGCGGGCAGCATACACGAAATACCCTAGGTTGTTTGGCTGTTCCCGATCAACCTATTACAGAAGGTTGAGGAAATTAAAAGCACAGTTTATAAAGAAGTGTCAGTTACCGAGCTGTGACGAAGAGACAGACAATCCAGTTGTCGTCACAGAATCGCGTACTACCGTAGCTACAGAGCAGTGGGCTAATATTGTCACAGACACAGCTACTGCTTCATGTAGTTACGTCCAGTGTTCAGACAACACAATCAATGGTAGTATCTGTTTAATTATTAAAATTTTATAGGTTGTGTGATTTCAGAAATGTCCCCAGCCATTCATCTTTCGGTGAAAGATGAGTTGGACAAAATGGTCATTGAAATGATGAAAGGTGGTTATATAAGCATAAAGAAGGCAGATCAAATATTGGACATTTTTCGTGCGCGGTATCCAGAACTTCCAACGTCCGTCCGAAGTGTTCTACGTCGATGCAAGGACGTGGAGCCTAAGATCCTAGATTCTGGAACGCATTACCATTTAGGATTGAAATCCAGTCTTTTGAGAATTCAGGACATTGGCTACGGCGAATCCGTTTCAACGAACTGCAGTTGCAGTTAAACTACGATGGTCTAAGTTTGTTCAAAAGCTCTAACCAACAGCTGTGGCCGATCCTAGGTCGCATAGTAGCTCCACTAGTTAGTAGTGTTTTCGTAGTTGGGATCTATGGTGGTGAAGTAAAACCACCTGATTTCAAAGACATGTCAGCAACACTTATAACAGAGTTACAGGAGTTGCTGTATTAATGTAGATAAGTATCACCTACATTTAACAGTTAAATTAGTTGCTGTTATTTGTGACGCTCCAGCTCGCAGCAACGTCAAGTACATTGTGGGACACAATGGTAACGCTGGCTGTGACAAATGTCAGGTTTTAGGGACGCGAATGGGTGATCGAATGACTTTGCCCAATGGTGAACACGACTTAAGAAATGATGTCACTTTTCGTAGTATGTCCCAATCTATCCATCATCGTGGTACAAGTTCATTTGAAATCTGCCAGTGGATATGATTAAATGTTTCCCTGTGAACCCATGCATATGATATACTCGAGTGTTACCAAAAAACTTGTTTCATTATGGAAGGAGCTAGCTATTAAGCGACTTAATAGGATGGATCAATCAATTATCGCATCAATAAACGATGCATTAGACTTATGTAGACAACACACTACATGCGATTTTCAACGGAAATGTCGTTCACTTAATGAAGTTTCTGTATGGGAAGCAACTGAATGTCGGTTGTTCTTATTATACTTAGGACCTATAGTTCTTCATGATAGGTTACCACTATCAATGTACAGAAGCTTCCAGTCACTCTCCTTGTCTATTTATTTCTTATCGCACCCTAAGTTTCATAGCACATTCGCTAACAGTGTTTCGGTTTACATTAATAACTTTTTATTAGGTTACGAAAGGTGTTACGGTACCGAACACTTAATCTACAATGTGCATAGTTTAAAGCACATTGCAGACGACGTTATGGAACATGGTACTTTAGAATCGTTCGCAGCATTTCCTTTTGAGTCTTACATGAGAAAAACTAGGCGTTCAGTACACTGTGGATTTGCTGTGGTTAAACAAGCCGCACAGCGATATGCCGAAGAAGTTTACTTTCAAAGTATAATGAATCAGGATATGGCTGACAATGTCACTGAGCCTGAGGTAACTGATAATTCTTCCAAGCAAATGGTCATTACAGGAACTCAAAGCTATCTACTACAAGGCCGGACAATGTAGTTATTGCCAAAGGTAGACCAGGGTTCGTAACAGAAATACGTGATGGAGGCCTTATTAGGTTCCGGCCATTCCATAATCCTTCCGATTTATATACCGACCTTTTTCCCTCCAGTAATATTGGTATGTTTAAGTGTTCTACCTTAAGCCACGAATGCACGTGGATAACACTAACAGACATACTTTGTAAGTGCATGTGTTTGCGCACACAACACAGTGAGCAGGACATTATTGAGGGTGTCGATTTTGGTAGTCGATTCTGCGTCAGAAAATGCACCGTTATGCATCGTTTTGGTAAGTTGTAATCAATTTAAATTTATTGCCTTTAGACAACTACAGTGTTGCCCAGCAAATCAAATTGTATTTAACAACAGCATTGGGCTACAATAATAATAACCTTAGTAGAAACGATGAAACACAGCCCTGTGAAGCTGAAAAGCCAAAAAGGCAAATTGTTCAACTTATTATATCATTTGTGTTAGAACTGCCAAACGAAAGCACAAGGATTATCTACGCACCTCTGAAGAATTAGAGGTTGCTGAGGTTGAGGCTGGATTTTCCCCGGTGGAATTTCCAGTTGTCAACATTTCAAAAGGAACCTTTTCCCCGATTGCGAGGTTTGTACCTACTTTATCAATACTCATATAGTAGTTCATCAACAGCTGACCTTTCACCACCACCAATTCCACGTACGTCGACTGAAGGTGATAAACCGTAAGTTGCGTTTACTTTATTCCCGATAACAAAAGTTTGAGCGATGATACACATCACATGTTCAGAAATATCCTAAAAGCGGTCACTGAACTATCTAGCAAGATGGATAGACTGATCGCTGTATGCGAACGCTTAGCCATGGGTGTAAGTGAAAGGCGTATAGAAGATAAGGATAGTGATGCAATCACTTTCCCATTACGAACGCATGAGGAGTTGCGTTCTTTAGAGACAGCTTTAGAGAACAAAAAATTCCGGGATCATTTCGTAAGTTGTAACCGGTGTTTGAAGAAATTTTAGATGGGAAGATTATACCATCTACTATGTGATGATCTTCGGAAATCAGCAAAAGCCTGTCTGAAATACTTCCTTTCTCCGGAACTGGCAAACACGTACACCTTGCACGGAACCAGAAGTAAATTTGGTATTAGTAAGTACAAATTTTACTCGACGGTTCAAAGTAAGTCCACTTTACTGTATTAACATATTTGTAGGTGCTTTGAGTTCACGTTTCAGAAGTGCAACCTGCCAGGAAAAGGATATAATACACGCCATGGCTACAGCAAGCCAGGCCTTCTTGCACTGACGCAAGAGATAAAGTACATAAACGTGGATGGCGATCCAAAGAAAGGGTGAGCTAAAACTACTTAATATGTTTGTTATAACACATATGTTAACTTTGTCCCAAATTGTTCCTACTCGTTCCCCTTCATACTCTTTTGTATATTGCTTAATACTACTTAATAAAATTCAGTATTCAGTTGTATTCCCAATAACTGAAGTTCACTTAGGGGATTTCCCCAAAATTCACAGGTTGTTAATTATCATTGTATTTATCACTGTAATCACTGTACTTTAATTACTGTAATAGTTTATTACTTTGTGATCAATACTCAAAGTGATATAACTTGTCTCTTGTATGTTTCCCATTCAGCTGGCTTCGCAGGCTTTATCAGACGTAACTGTAAGTTCTTTGTTCGCATTATTAAGAACATTGTTATACTGTTGGTACATCATTAACCTTTCACATATCTTGACACGTTATTACACACTAAAAATGATTTATTTATTTATTTTTTAGAACATTATCAATGACAGTTCTACGTCTACGTAAGGTGTTGCTGTTACAACGCAATGAAAAACTTTGTACAAATGAATCATTTGTAATTTTATTAACTGTAATAAACATTTATATATTTCATAAATCAGTCTTTTGATAATCGCGATAAATCGGTTAACATTAAGTTTCATTAGCAATGCGCGATTGACGAAAAGTAATAAAACATCCCAGTAAGAAATGTACGTAAGCATTCTCCCTAGGTCTTCCGTGATGTCGATAGGCTTTCGTTAAGCTTTTGCGTTAAAACACTTTTCTAGGAAAATCCAAAGGTTTGATGAAGCTTCCCCAAAATCACATAACTATCGTGTCCGTTTCCCTTTCATCACCTGGCTTCGCAGGCATTAACAGACGTAACCATAGTTTATTTGTTCTTTTGTATATTGTTTTATACTACTTACAAAAATCCAGTAGTCAGTTGTATTCCCAAAAGCTTCAGTTCACTTTGGGGATTTCTCTAGGTCTGGTGAAATTTTGGGTTTTTTGTCTCATTTTCCCAAAATGGACTAAATTTTCCCCAAAGTTGGGAGCCTGGGATGACAATGCTTGTTAGATCGTTCACTAGTCGTCGTTCATTTTTTACCACTATCTGTTTGTCCATAAACGGAGGTTGTGAAGTTACTACCCAAAATCATCTAAACAACTATGCTTTCGTAGACATCGCTTTGTTTTGATTGTGAATCGAATACATGGTTAAATTTGCAGATTCTGAATAGACGTATGTCAAAGCTTTGACACCCATTCTTTACTATTTATGTTCTTGTGCTACGCTATGCACCTGACCATAACCAATTTTTCAAATCCTGCCTGTTGATAGGCCGGTGAATTACAATTGGCATATATTTTCCATGTGGCTTCAGTTATTGGGAATACAACTGAATACTGAATTTTATTAAGTAGTATTAAGCAATATACAAAAGAGTATGAAGGGGAACGAGTAGGAACAATTTGGGACAGAGTTAACATATGTGTTATAACAAACATATTAAGTAGTTTTAGCTCACCCTTTCTTTGGATCGCCATCCACGTTTATGTACTTTATCTCTTGCGTCGTGCAAGAAGGCCTGGCTTGCTGTAGCCATGGCGTGTATTATATCCTTTTCCTGGCAGGTTGCACTTCTGAAACGTGAACTCAAAGCACCTACAAATATGTTAATACAGTAAAGTGGACTTACTTTGAACCGTCGAGTAAAATTTGTACTTACTAATACCAAATTTACTTCTGGTTCCGTGCAAGGTGTACGTGTTTGCCAGTTCCGGAGAAAGGAAGTATTTCAGACAGGCTTTTGCTGATTTCCGAAGATCATCACATAGTAGATGGTATAATCTTCCCATCTAAAATTTCTTCAAACACCGGTTACAACTTACGAAATGATCCCGGAATTTTTGTTCTCTAAAGCTGTCTCTAAAGAACGCAACTCCTCATGCGTTCGTAATGGGAAAGTGATTGCATCACTATCCTTATCTTCTATACGCCTTTCACTTACACCCATGGCTAAGCGTTCGCATACAGCGATCAGTCTATCCATCTTGCTAGATAGTTCAGTGACCGCTTTTAGGATATTTCTGAACATGTGATGTGTATCATCGCTCAAACTTTTGTTATCGGGAATAAAGTAAACGCAACTTACGGTTTATCACCTTCAGTCGACGTACGTGGAATTGGTGGTGGTGAAAGGTCAGCTGTTGATGAACTACTATATGAGTATTGATAAAGTAGGTACAAACCTCGCAATCGGGGAAAAGGTTCCTTTTGAAATGTTGACAACTGGAAATTCCACCGGGGAAAATCCAGCCTCAACCTCAGCAACCTCTAATTCTTCAGAGGTGCGTAGATAATCCTTGTGCTTTCGTTTGGCAGTTCTAACACAAATGATATAATAAGTTGAACAATTTGCCTTTTTGGCTTTTCAGCTTCACAGGGCTGTGTTTCATCGTTTCTACTAAGGTTATTATTATTGTAGCCCAATGCTGTTGTTAAATACAATTTGATTTGCTGGGCAACACTGTAGTTGTCTAAAGGCAATAAATTTAAATTGATTACAACTTACCAAAACGATGCATAACGGTGCATTTTCTGACGCAGAATCGACTACCAAAATCGACACCCTCAATAATGTCCTGCTCACTGTGTTGTGTGCGCAAACACATGCACTTACAAAGTATGTCTGTTAGTGTTATCCACGTGCATTCGTGGCTTAAGGTAGAACACTTAAACATACCAATATTACTGGAGGGAAAAAGGTCGGTATATAAATCGGAAGGATTATGGAATGGCCGGAACCTAATAAGGCCTCCATCACGTATTTCTGTTACGAACCCTGGTCTACCTTTGGCAATAACTACATTGTCCGGCCTTGTAGTAGATAGCTTTGAGTTCCTGTAATTGACCATTTGCTTGGAAGAATTATCAGTTACCTCAGGCTCAGTGACATTGTCAGCCATATCCTGATTCATTATACTTTGAAAGTAAACTTCTTCGGCATATCGCTGTGCGGCTTGTTTAACCACAGCAAATCCACAGTGTACTGAACGCCTAGTTTTTCTCATGTAAGACTCAAAAGGAAATGCTGCGAACGATTCTAAAGTACCATGTTCCATAACGTCGTCTGCAATGTGCTTTAAACTATGCACATTGTAGATTAAGTGTTCGGTACCGTAACACCTTTCGTAACCTAATAAAAAGTTATTAATGTAAACCGAAACACTGTTAGCGAATGTGCTATGAAACTTAGGGTGCGATAATAAATAAATAGACAAGGAGAGTGACTGGAAGTTTCTGTACATTGATAATGGTAACCTATCATGAAGAACTATAGGTCCTAAGTATAATAAGAACAACCGACATTCAGTTGCTTCCCATACAGAAACTTCATTAAGTGAACGACATTTCCGTTGAAAATCGCATGTCGTGTGTTGTCTACATAAGTCTAATGCATCATTTATTGATGCGATAATTGATTGATCCATCCTATTAAGTCGCTTAATAGCTAGCTCCTTCCATAATGAAACAAGTTTTTTGGTAACACTCGAGTATATCATATGCATGGGTTCACAGGGGAAACATTTAATCATATCCACTGGCAGATTTCAAATGAACTTGTACCACGATGATGGATAGATTGGGACATACTACGAAAAGTGACATCATTTCTTAAGTCGTGTTCACCATTGGGCAAAGTCATTCGATCACCCATTCGCGTCCCTAAAACCTGACATTTGTCACAGCCAGCGTTACCATTGTGTCCCACAATGTACTTGACGTTGCTGCGAGCTGGAGCGTCACAAATAACAGCAACTAATTTAACTGTTAAATGTAGGTGATACTTATCTACATTAATACAGCAACTCCTGTAACTCTGTTATAAGTGTTGCTGACATGTCTTTGAAATCAGGTGGTTTTACTTCACCACCATAGATCCCAACTACGAAAACACTACTAACTAGTGGAGCTACTATGCGACCTAGGATCGGCCACAGCTGTTGGTTAGAGCTTTTGAACAAACTTAGACCATCGTAGTTTAACTGCAACTGCAGTTCGTTGAAACGGATTCGCCGTAGCCAATGTCCTGAATTCTCAAAAGACTGGATTTCAATCCTAAATGGTAATGCGTTCCAGAATCTAGGATCTTAGGCTCCACGTCCTTGCATCGACGTAGAACACTTCGGACGGACGTTGGAAGTTCTGGATACCGCGCACGAAAAATGTCCAATATTTGATCTGCCTTCTTTATGCTTATATAACCACCTTTCATCATTTCAATGACCATTTTGTCCAACTCATCTTTCACCAAAAGATGAATGGCTGGGGACATTTCTGAAATCACACAACCTATAAAATTTTAATAATTAAACAGATACTACCATTGATTGTGTTGTCTGAACACTGGACGTAACTACATGAAGCAGTAGCTGTGTCTGTGACAATATTAGCCCACTGCTCTGTAGCTACGGTAGTACGCGATTCTGTGACGACAACTGGATTGTCTGTCTCTTCGTCACAGCTCGGTAACTGACACTTCTTTATAAACTGTGCTTTTAATTTCCTCAACCTTCTGTAATAGGTTGATCGGGAACAGCCAAACAACCTAGGGTATTTCGTGTCTGCTGCCCGCTTTTCGCAATCTTATCGAGCTGTCTATTATTATTCTGAAAGAAATAATTGACTTAAGTAAGACTGAACATAGACAGCAACCAAATTTTCCGACCTGCACTGCTAACAACTCACCTGCATAGCTTTCAAATTTTGAAAAAGTGCTTTGAAACCGACAACTCTGTCTACTGTCTGTTTGTTGATGTATTAAAACAAGGCCTGAAATTCGATAGACTATCCCTCATCAAAAGTTTGTATTGAATTAAAATGTACATTCTATTAAATTTACTACTGTGAGGCTTATTCATATTATGTCGATGAAATGTTAGTGTGCAAAAATGCGCTACGAAGATTTTGGGGATTCCCCCTAAATTTTCCCAAACTTTGGGGAAAAATATTTCATTTTTGGGATTTCCCCAAAATTTCCGCATAGCTGGCAGCTTGGGGTGTGTACTTATTTAGGCTAATTGTATTCAAAGTGTCATCTATCAACAAGCCTCAGTCCCATGGATCAAAACACTTAAATCACTGTCATAACACTCATAATGACAGTCTTAGGCTGTGTATGCTCTGGTGTTTAAAGTATCAACAATTCAGTTGCATCAGTCTAATAAGCAGTCAAAGGAAAAAGATTGTCATGTAGTGTCTTATATTTTGTAACTTTTTGTGTGCTTTTGGTCGAAATATATCATTATTCGCTTAAATGGGTTACAACATTTTGTTTGTTTTCTTTTCCATAGATCTAATTGTCCTTAGTGTATCCACTGTTAACTTCCGGTTACTGACAAAACCTGTACTAGTAATACGATGGACGAACCACTTATCTATCTGGCAATGGATAATGCAAAAATAATCATCAATATATTGAAGGCAGTGCATTTTCGCGATGTATGTTTTGATAATTGCGTCATCCTTGGTGTGTAGCTTGCCACAATATTTGCCACAAATAATGGTATTAAGGTGACAGTAGAGGACTCAAAATGCATTCAAGGAAACGCTTTTCTGCATTCAGCGCTTTTCCGTGAATACTCTGTGAAGAAAGATATAATATCGTTTAGGACAAACCTTGGTGTGCTTGTTGTAAGTAGAATCTAGTACTTCCTCAGGTCGTTCAGGACTGCCTTTCTATTTTTGGGACTTCAGTTCAAGGACCATCAGTTTCATTCATTTTATCCTATAAAACTCACGGGAGTGGTTTAAATATTTTGTAAATTACTTTTAAATTATTATTTGTATACAGACTAGAAGAAAACGGAGTTGTAGCAGAATGCAACATTAAAACTATGGAGGCGTTTGAAATATTGGACTTTGATTTTTCAAGCAGTAATATCTCAGATAAATTCATAATGAAGGTTAGTCCTAAGCTAACTGTTATGCCTATGATATGTTATATTATTACTGTTGTAAGTACTGGTCATCTGTCATTTTTAACGTATATAAAAGATGTAATGCCTGATACAAATGTATACCAAAATTTTGTACCTTACATTAACACATGTGTTAATGTAAGTGCGCTTAGTGGGGATCAACAAGAAATAGAAATCGTACATACGGTGGTAGAAAATGAGAACGATGCAAAACCTAGAATGTGACTAGTGAAGTTTCGAAGTGAAGAGCTTGGAGTGACACCATGTCGTAGGTTATAGTTACTTTGAGGACCTTATCTCAAAAGCATGTAACTTCCAACATAGCTCAAACCAACAATTAATGGTCTCATAGACTGTTGAGATGTTCTGACCTGGACACTCATAAACTTCCCTCAATATAATTTCCTTTTGGTTATCATAAAGCGCCATAATTGGTGGTATCTGTGCCCATCTCCCAACCAACTCAGTTGGTTTGTAGCGCTTCAAGAGTTGGAGTTCCTTGCGGACTTCCGCCTCATTTGGTGGATCAGTCGTCACCGGCCATGGATGGCAGGACAGTCTGACCGATGTTGCCGGAGCAGCAGGCCAGTTGAACTGCCCTTCGAAAAATCCTGCCCATCATCCAAGACGTCGATGGATGTTAGTGATTGGCATCCCGTCATCCTCGTAGATTGTTTCGCTCACACCAGACTTCTTGCTGCCAGTGGCTCGGATGAGTCGGAAGAGCTTTCGGTAATTACCAGATGTAGCTGCTGCTTCCAGCTCATTAGCACGCTCCGACTACCAGGCTTCTCGGTCCTTACGCAAGCTTTGCCCAATTTCATTACGTAAAACCCTTCGCTCATTCTGGAGTACCTGCTTGGACTCCGACTACGCTCTAATACGGGCACGCATCTGCTTGCGCCCCACTGGACGCAAAAATTAGGTAACGAGAAAACCAAAAGTAGGTTCCAGGGAAAACTGAGGTCACACTTAGGTAGTTCTGAAAACGAGGCTGACCCAGATGTTGCTTGGAAAGCTATACAAACAGCTGTGGAAACAGCAATGAAATCTATTAGTGACTTAAACCACAGAGTTACAAAGAACCAGTGAATTTCTTCAAAGTCTATCACACTGATGGATCCTCGCAAACTCGTCCCATCAGGTTCTGAACATGATGAAGAGCGACAACAAATCAGATCTAGGTTAAGAAAAAGTCTAAGAAACGACTGTGAGCAGTGGTGGGCAACGAAAGCAAAAGAGATTAGATCAGACGATCCTGGATACATTCATGGCCCAACAAATATATCTTCGAATCTCCTCGCTTCTGTCTTTTGATTTCACTTGGTGGGTACGAGTTATATTCGGTGTTACTGGTTAAAGCATTGTCAAACTCTGAATACTTGTGGCATCTTCATTGGCGAGCCTAACGTGATCTGGTACGCCAAATTGCAAACTGTGATTCTGTTTTTTTGGGATTCTATATATCATTGCCTTATTTTAATTTTTTATACATTGTGATATTTGTTTTGCGTTTTTTTCGATATATTTTTTCACTCGTTCGTTCTCGTACTTCATATTTCCCTATGGTTGAACAGACACCCAAAGAACTTAAGTTAAAGACTATGTCCCCATCTTCGTTCCAACCGATGACCTTCTGGCCATACAACAACGAAGCCTGGTTTTAGTACGCAGAAGCCGACTTCTACGAGCACGGCGTGATCGACACATGTGTGAAATTCCTCTCAGTAGTCAAGGCACTGACGCGCGAATTCAACAGGTACGTAACACCTAGTATGTTCATTAGTGATGTCTCAGAACCCTACGAAACACTGAAACGTTCGATTCTTAAACGCGGAGACCTAACCGATAGACAAAGGTTAAAACAAATCCTTAATAACATCGACCTGCAACGCGGTTCTGCGACGGACATATTGCAACGAATGAGAGAAGTCATCGGCCAAAGAGCCTTCGTTAATGGCCTATTCAAACAACTTTTCTTATCCAAACTTCCTCAACAGGTGCAAGCAGTTCTGGTCTCGTTTCAGAACAACGCCTTAGACGAGCTGGCTGCATCTGCCGACCGCATTTTAGAAATCACGAAATCTAATGCCGAGGTTTTTTTAGTCAAAGAAAAGCCTCAAACGACTCAGAATGACATAACTGAACTATGTCATACACTTACACGTTATCTTAAATTTTGTAACGACCAAAAACGGTCACACACCCCACGAAGGGGCACTGCACGTGAGCGATCTGTCTCTAGACCACGAGAGACGGATAACCACGACTGGTGCTGGTATCATAATCAGTATGGAAAGTCCACCAGAAATTGCAGAAAACCCTGCTGTCTCCCAAACTGAAAATCGACCGACACAGAAAACAATTACGGAAACTTCCAAGCCGGCACACGTTAACGGCAACCGTGGCCTGTGAACATAGCCGCCTGTTGTGCTTCACAGATGTGACAACGAGGGTTCGCTACTTCGTCGATACTGGAGCAGAACTTGGCGTTCTCCCGGCGAATTATAATGACCGGCTTCACGAATCGGTTTTAAATCTACAGGCGGCAAACCACAATTTAATCATCGATATGCGTGAACGGAGGCTAGTAGACGGAAACACTAATTTATCTGTTTGCGTATTTGCGTTTTCTCGTTCTAGATTATCTCCAGTCACAATTAAGCACACTATAGACCCAGTATATCAACCATTACTCGATGAGTATCCTGGGATACACCAACTGCAACCGAAATTGCTGTGTGTAACCAACAACGTTACACATCACATCACGACTACAGGACCAACTGTATTCTCTAAAGCACGACGACTAGCCCCCGAAAAACGAGTTCGACCACATGGTAGACTTAGGAATCATACGACCGTCAAATAGCCCATATGCATCTCCGTTGCACATGATCCCTAAAAAGGACAGCAACGATTGGCGTCCAACTGGTGACGATCGGCGATTGAATGCAAAAACCATTCCCGATCGTTACCCGTTGCCTCACATTCACGATTTGACAGCCACCTTGAAAGGTACAACTGTCTTTTCGAAAAGCCACTTGGTTAAAACACATAACCAAATCACTATGGCTATTGACGATATTCCGAAAACAACTACCATAACTCCCTTCGGACTCTAAGAATTTTTGCGAATGACGTTCGGTCTAAGAAACGCTGCACAAACCTTCCAAAGTTTCATAGACGATGTCTTTCGAGGTCTTAACTTCCTACATGCGTATGTTGACGACTATCTAATAGAAGTCCGGACAGAGAAACGCATCTCCAGCATCTGGATCTTGTTTTCGAACGACTACAAAATCATGGCATTGCTGTAAACATTCGGAAATGCCAAATCGGAACTGACTCATTAGACTTCCTAGGACACACCATAGATGCCCAAGGCATTCGACCCCTTAGAATCAAAGTAGCTGCCATTCTGGATCACACAAACTAACCACCATCAAGCAATTACGCACATTTAACGGCCTCGTAAGTTTCTGTAGGCGCTTCATACCGAAATGTGCGTTTACTTATGAGACCTCTAACCGACCAACTTCGTGGAAATGCGAAATCCATCATACTGGACAAAACCACGCGAAAAGCATTCTCCACAGTTAAGGAACTTATCGCTCAAGCAACAATCCTTGCCCATCAGGACACTCAAGTACCCATGAGCATCGCAGTAGACGCATCCAACTCAGCAATCGGAGGAGTCTTACAACAATGGGTTAACCACTCCCGGCAACCTTTATCATTCTTTTCAATACGGTTACTAGACACTGAGTAGAGGTACATCACATTCGGTAGGTAACTCCTAGCTATGTATTGTGCTGTACGACATTTTCAACACTACATCGAAGGTCGTGAATTCACCCTTTTCACTGGCCATAAACTGCTTACCTTCTCTTTAAGCTCTTCTTCAGACAAGTACTCACCTCGTGGGTCTCGACAATTGGACCACATTTCGTAGTTTACTTCAGACGTTCAACACATTTCTGGAGCAAACAATGTAGTCGCAGCCGCCTTGTCTCGAATAACTTCCTTAAACAGTTTCCAAGGAATCAACCTTCTGAAACTCGCCCAGCGTCAAGAAGAAGACGCTGATATTCGGCACGAGTTACCATCTTCAACCCTCAAGCTACACATCAAACAGTGCGGAACAGGTAAGAAAACCTTACTGTGTGACACATCTACAGGTAGGGATCGTCCAATCATGCGGAAAAATTATCGACACAACGTCTCCAATACTTTGCACAAACTTTCTCATCCAGGTGTTCGTGAAACCATCAAGCTTATAGCAGAACATTTTTGCTGGCCTGATATAAATAAAGATGAGAGGGACTGGGCACGTTCCTGTATAAGTTGCGAAAATGCTAAGGTCAGCAAACACAACAAGTGTCCCTTAGGCTCTTTCAAAACTCCTGATGCTTGTTTCGACCATATTCATCTGGATTTGGTCGGACCTTTACCAGATTCAAATGGATAGTCTTAACTCTTAACACGCGTGGACCGTTTCACCCGATGTCCGGAAGCAGCACCCATCAAGGACATCACTGCTGAAACAGTGGCCCGCGCCTTTGGGTAGCAAACTTCGGCTGCCCTTCAACCATCACTACAGATCGTGGACGTTAGTTGGAATCTGAACTTTTCCGTTGTCTGACCACACTTTTAGGAATCACTCGCTTCCAAACGACCGCCTACCACCCACAAGCAAACGGGTTAATAGAACGCTTTCATCGACAACTAAAAGCTTCACTATCAGCTGTAAACGTTTCACAGTGGACCGACGCCCTTACACTCGACTTATTTGGATAAAACTGATATTGGATAGACTGCAGCTAAATTTGTTTGTGGAACGACATCTCGACTTCCAGGAGAATTCGTGGACCTTTCATCTTCCTCAATGAATATGGATCAAAACTTCTACACGAACAGGCTTACAAATTCAATGCGTTCAGTTAAACCTGTTTCCACACGCCTTCAGTCGACTGATATTTTGC